GATTACCTGTACAGTTGGGTAGACCTAGAACGCCTGTCTTAATTCTAGAATTACTGTCTAATTGCTGTCTAATTCCAACTGTAGACTTAGAGTTATGCCTTAGATCATATTCTCCCTTCTTCTCCAATATGTCTAGCATGACATCAAATGCGTGGTGTAATTTATATTTATGGATTTCCTTGTTAAGTTATACGCCAGTCATCTTTTCCACAGGTAGATTAACACAGGGGTCCCCAAACCCCAGTCTGTGGAACGGTACCGGTCCATGGCGTGCCAGAAACCGGGCCACGCAAACAGGCAAAGCCCCGTCCCTATGGGATGCAGGTAGCGCACCAAACCACACCTTCTCCAATCCATGGAAAAACCTCTCTCTCTCCATGGAACCAGTCCTTGGTGCCCAAAGGGTTGTGGGGGGGACAGTGGACCAACAGGATAGTTCGTGTCGCCGAGCATTAATGAGAAAGGGAGAAAAGTCATATTCATCTTGAGTTTCGGCCATTTTCAGAAGAATAGTGCTGGTGAGGTTCACTTCTTAGTCACTGTGGTTGCTATGCAGAATTTCTGGTTGTTGTTGTTTTTCCCCTGGGATGAATCTCTGGGTGATCAAATAGCATCAGTAGATATGGTTTATATCAGAGGTGGTATTCAGCTGGTTCAGACTGGTTGTGGCGTACCAGTAGCGGAAATTTTGACCAGTTCAAAGAACTGGCAAATACCACCTCTGACTGGGCCCTCCTACTCATCCCTTCCCTTTCCTGTCCTATATTCCATTGATTTTTTTAGCTCAGCTGATTCATGTGGCAGATTGCCACGCCTCAGCTGAGTTAAAAAACAGCTCACCTCACTGAGGGTGATCTTTCAGTGCTGCACGCATGCGCAAAGTGATCTTTGGCTGCTTTGAGTGTAGAACTGGTAACGTGCGATACCACTGGTTTATATCTGTAGCAATTCTAGTAAGGTAGAGGCTTCCCTGTCGAACCATGTCCCACACAGGGACGGTGCTCACCATTGTTTCTTGGCCCAGGGAGCCAGTGTTGTCTGAAGGCGTTTTCTCTGGTGCACGGAATGCTGTTAACCTTCCTGCCGAAGTGGTACCTATTCATCTACTTGCATATGCATGCTTTTGAACTGCTCAGAAGGTAGGAGCTGGAGCAAGGAATGGGAGCTCACCTCATTCGTGTAGTGGTCGGGTCTCAAACCTGAGCTGTGAGTTTTCCAGCTGACAAGCTCAGTGTCTTTAACTGCCAAGCCATCCTCCTTGCCCGCTCCCTACCTCCAGCAGTTCTAGTATACCTCAGTCATTTTCTTCAACTAGGAATTTTCTTCCAAGGAAACTTCTGCCTCTGAAGCTGATAGTCCCTCTTGTCTCCAGCCTCCCTCCTCCCCCCCCCTCCCAAAAAAAAACCAAGCTAAGCAATCTGGCATCTTGTTAATAGCTGGCTGGTTGCTAATTAATTCCTAATCAATTGCACCAATGCTTGTTTTGACATGGGGCAGAAGGCAGGATGGAAGAGATTCATTATCATTTCAACCCAGGTCAATCTTGGCTGCAGCTTATCTTTGAAGTCCAAAACCTTGGACAATGGGAAGGCTTTTGTCTGAAGTCTCCACCTCGAAACTGAGCTGGCTTTGTGCAAATGGATTGTGACTTACGCTGAATTCCATTCAAGTTTGAAAACAGAGTGCAGTGTGCATCTGTTTCTGTCATTGTTGCACACCCAGCAAATGTTATTTGAACTGTGATGGCCAGGCTTAATAAAACAGGCAAGCGTGCATATGGATTTCTGAGTGTCATAGCCAAATAAATCTGGCTTACCTCCAATGTTGAAACCACTTAAATCAATGCTTTGCTTTTCAGCTTCTTAGATGTATTTAAATTGCACTATAGGAAACAGGTTGCTGCTTGGTCTGACAGAGCCATAGATGGATGGATGGATGGATGGATGGATGGATGGATGGATAGATGGATGGATGGAGAGAGGGATGGAGAGAGGGAGGGAGGGAGAGAGGGGAGGAGGGATGGGGCAAAGTTTCATATACAGTGAGACCCACAATGGATGTCCACTTTCTGTTCTTTTAATTGCCAAGCATTTTTGTGTTCCTCCAGCACAACTGGCCACAGCAAGTTGACCTGTGACAGGTTGGCTGAGGTGAGTTAGCCGTAGTGAGTGGTTCTGTTGCAAGCCAACGCTGGCATTGTGTTTCCTAATTTGTACAACTTTGGTTAAAGCTTGACTAATTGAACTGCAAATTTGGCAGCAATGAAGGACAAATGCGGTTGTCTTAACAGACTCTCACCAGTCCACCAGTGAGCTTTCTAGATGGCTGAAGTAATGGTGGAGATGTAACAGAATTTGAGTGCCCTCCAAACCATCTTTAAGGCTGGACACAGTGTCAGATGAATAAGGCTGACCAGCAATAAGCTCAGCCTTGGTCATTGCTATTGCTATTGCCTCAACCTTCCATCCTTCCGAGGTCAGTACAACGAGAATCCAGATTGTTGAGGGCAAGAGGCTGACTCTGAAAACTGTTTAGAGAGGGCTGTAAAGCACCGTGAAGTGGTATATACTGAGTCTCAGTGGCGCAGTGGTTAGAGTGCAGTACTGCAAGCTACTCCTACTGCAGTTCGGCAGATCGAATCCCACTAGGCTCAACGTTGACACAGCCTTCCATCCTTCCGAGGTGAGTAAAATGAGGACCCAGATTGTTGGGTGCAATAGGCTGAATCTGTAAACTGTTTTTAGAGTGCTGTAAAGCACTGTAAAGTGGTATATAAGTCTAAATGCTATTGCTA